GGGGGGGACTGAATGCACTTTACAATAAATACCTAGAATTTCCAGAATGAGATTCTACAAATTTGAAATGTTTGTGCTCAAATACAATTAAGACAAAAAAAAAAAAAAAGGATTTAAACTCACCTAGCTTTCCTTTCCATTCAAGGATTCCAAAATTTTTCAGCTAGATCATGAACTAACAAGATCTGGGCATGATCTGCAAAACCCAGGAAATATTCCTCATCCAGAATGACCTACAAATAATTACCGAACAGTAACATCAAAACCCAGCATAAGTATATACACGAAGGCTCATAAATGAATAAATGCAAAAATTGAGACCATTTGATGCTTACAAGTAGTACCGTCGGTAATTTGATAGGAAAATAAATCAGGGGGGACTAGAGGAATGAAAAGAATTGAATCTTTTTGTGACTGAAATCTTAAAATAAGTGGAAAGAGAGAGAATGGCGCAGTGGACTGGTGATGGGGGACGAAAGTCACGAAACAATTGTTATACTCGTTCGTCATGAGCTTTTTCCCCCCCTGATTTTCTTCTATTTGACAGCTTTACTTTATTTTCACAACTTATTCTCTTTTTAATTGGGAATATGATACTGTAAATAATGCAATATCAATAATGATATTCATCTTCCTTATATGGAGAGGAACACAGAGAGCATCTTCCTTATATGGAGAGGAACACAGAGAGTGGACGTCATTATGAACACTTAGGGATGACAATCGAGCTCGTCGACTCGGGCCGCTTGATTCGAAAAAAGCTCAAATCTGTCTGGCTTGAGGCTCAGCTCGAACCCCACATTTAGGTTCCGGACAAAGCTTGAACAAGCCCGTGTGGCTCGTCGGCTCGGGACAACCGAGCATGTATTTAATTTTAAAAAAAAATAAAAATTAAAGGCAGCTTAAATAAGTTGTTGCTGCCTTTAAAAATAAATCCAAAACCAAACAAAACTCGAGACGGCTCGTCTTGGCTCGAAAGGGTCTGAATCAAAAGCTCGAGTCGAGCCTAAATTTTTTTGTTGAGCATCGAGCTCGGAAGAAAGCTCGGATATTTTACCCGAGCCGAGCCCTAGCCTAAAATTTCGGCTCGCGAGCTGACTAGGCTCATTAACATCCCTATGAACACCCTAATGAACATGTAGCATTACCCTTTTAATTTTCCTTCTAAAAGCTTGTTTTCCAGGGGAAAAAAACATTCGGTCTGAGAAATGGGTTAAATTTCTACCAGGTTCCTCAATCTTTTAAAATGTGTTTGCACTTGTACCCTCAACCTATTACAAAATGAATAGTATTATTCCTCAATTTTTTAGTCACGTTTCAGATTATTTTAAAATAAAGAAATTTTTTTGGACTATTTGACTTTTTAAATTTGATATCGTGTAAGTGTCACGTGGTCATTTAACTAAGGGTAATAATTGGATCAAACACACATCCCATGAACCGCTCGTCGAGCTTGATGCCAAGTCGACCCCAAAAAAATGGAGAAGTCAAACTGCACTTGGCTTGTTGGTCCGCAAATCGCTTGTGCTCGTTAAAAAAATGTGAACATTAACCAAACGTCAAAATTTTTTCTCCATAAATACTCCATCTCCCCAATTCATTCACAACAACTCTCTACATTCTAAATTTCTCATACAATTATAGTAATTCAATTTTTATACAAGGATCGTGCAACATATACCGAATTTTTTTATCTAATCATTTATCCACTACTCACAATAGGAGGTGAGCGCTACGGCTCGACATTATTTAATACACGTGGGGCCCACGTGTTATGTGAGAGGGGGGACACGGTTCGGTAGTCCCCCCTCTGTACATACATTTTAATCCTTTATACAATTAGTTCTTAACTATCTGTATTCTGCTTCTAGTTTGTTCTTTTATTGTGCAATTCAAATCTACCTTCTTTCTATATTTTATTCTAATTTCATAGTTTATTAAAATTTCAAATGGATTATATTAATTACCTGGAGAATAATGAGTTCAAAGAAATGTTTGGTATCAACTCCAAGACGCCACGAAGTTAACTCCTGTTTCGTCTCCATCATTCGATCACGATATTTTTGTTAACGACATTCCAATTTCTATTGATTTGGGTGACGAAGATGTACATGGAAGCATTGATCCAATTAATTTGGATGACATAGAGGAAGAAGAAAAACATATAGTCAGCTCAACCAATAAACGAAGAAATAAACTATTAAGCATTGGGAACATTATAAACTTGTGCTCATGGGTCAAGTAAACGAAAAGTTAGATTATGAAGCAATATGCAAGTACTACAAAGAAAGATTAGCTTGACAAAAGGGTGTCGGAATGGCTTACCTAACATGCATTACAAGAAATGTTTGACTAAATGTATTAGATTCTACATAGACTCAAATGTAATTTGAATCTTCTGATATAGGTCCTAGCTCACTTACCAACTAGGTATACTCAAATGAGGCAATGCATGAGGACAATGACAAGTTCATAGCTAGTGGTGAGCATTCACTTAGCATAGTCGTAGCCCACAACTCACCAAGTTCATACAACAATTCTTCTACCCAAGTACGAATTAACTACTAGATACGCTTCATTCTGATTCCAATGTGCCATATCAAGTTCACAAAATCCCGTTGGATAGCATCCAAACATCTTTCCAAAAAGTTGGTACGTGCTTTCTATGTATGCTTTGATATCTTGTTGGATTCTCAAAGCACAAACCAATGGCAAAAGTTCCCAAAGAGTATTGTCTTTTATGTGTGGCCAAATTTGAGGATAAATAGTTTAGTTGATTTCAGCCATTTTCCTTCAAAATTTTTCGAACTCTTTTATATACTTTATTCAGTGATGCGAACCCCGTAGCAACGTTGACTATGAAACCCACAACGAGATTGACGAACCCAAGAAAGCCAAATTAATCCAAGAGTTTAGGATTAATCCAAAAGAAAGTCGAACCAAAAATCCCAACAAGAACGACGCTTGAAAGACCCCTGATCAAGCAATCCAAGAATTAAATCCGATTGTTTGAATGCCACAAGTTAACACTTGATAAGTTCGAAGTTGTTCAATGAAGAACGATGAAGAGAAGACAACACGCCTCACTTTAATTCAATATCAATAATGTCAAAAGTTTTTAACAATTGAATGAAAACTCCTATTTATACTAAACCTAAAAATTAGGTAAAAATCGTGCAAAAGTCGATTATAATCCCCAAAATATGGAAAATAATCAAAAACTAACAAAATATGGAAAATTGCCAAAATTAGGAAATTCGCCAAAAAAATGGTCTATGCGACCGCATAATGTATTTCCATGCAGTCGCATGGTTCAGTTCGGTTGGCTCCTTTGAGTTTTGGTAAGCACCTATGCGACCGCAAGTCTCTCAAGCCTATGTGACCGCATAGGCTTATCATTTTCCTCCATCTTCAACCTTCGATATTAAATTGATCCAAGTTGATTCGGCCTTCGACTCGAACATGAAAGTTGCTCCATTTTGAGTCTCGAACATGGTTCCATCAATGGTTTCTTGAACGAGCAATCTCATCGCTTGTTTCACTTGCTTTTCGCGTCATTGGACCACCATCGGCTATCAATGGATCTCGTCTCGCACTTGCCTTCGTCGGGCTCGACTCTTGGATCATATCATCCCCTCCCTCTTCAAAAGGATTTGTCCTCGAATCTGAACCTACATCAAATAGAGAGAGATCATATACATTAAAAGTAGCCGAAACATTATACTCACCTGGAAGGTCCAACTTGTATGCATTATCGTTTATCTTTTTGAGAACTTGAAATGGACCATCGCCCCTCGATTGCAACTTAGACTTCCTTTGCTCCGGAAACCGTTCCTTCCTAAGGTGCACCCAAACCCAATATCCTGACTCGAATGTCACGTGCTTCCTACCTTTGTTCGCTTGCAACGTAACCAACTTATTTTTGTTTTCATTTTGTGCTTTTACCTTTTCATGGAGTGACTTAACCAATTCCGACTTCTTTTTGCCATCTAAACTACCACGTTCATTCACAGGTAAAGGAATTAAATCCAAAAGAGTTAGTGGATTAAAACCATATACAATTTCAAATGGAGAATATGACGTAGTAGAGTGAACAGCTCGATTGTATGCAGATTCAACGAATGGTAGACACTCCTCCCAACTCTTCAAATTTTTATTGATTACTGTGCATAACAATTGTGTCATAGTCCTATTCACCACCTCGGTTTGCCCATCCGTTTGTGGGTGACAAGTTGTGGAAAATAGTAACTTAGTGCCTAACTTACCCCACAAAACTCTCCAAAAGTGACTCAAAAATTTGACATCCCGATCCGACACTATGCTTCTAGGAACCCCATGTAAACGCACAATCTCTTTAAAGAATAAGTCAGCAATGTTCGTGGCATCGTCAGTTTTGTGGCATGGTATAAAATGTGTCATTTTGCTGAACCTATCTACAACCACAAAAATAGAATCCCGACCTCTCTTAGTCCTAGGTAAACCCAAAACAAAGTCCATCGAGATATCAACCCAAGGCTCAATAAATGCAGGTAAAGGTGTGTACAAACCTTGTGGTAAAACCTTAGATTTAGCCTTTTTACAACCTATGTATCGACTACAAATTCGCTCAACGTCACTTTTCATCTTAGGCCAATAAAAATGCTCATTCAATACATCTAAAGTCTTTTGAACCCCAAATTTCCATCTACTTTATCTCTCAAGTTATTTCTACCCTGTCTTTCCATCCTATCGCCCTTATGCCTCGCTCGACCCATATCAAAGTCATTTTTATCAAAATTATCTTCATCACTACGATACTCATCTCGCCTTCCTCTCCTAGATTCACGCTTACCCGGCCCCCTAGCATTAGACATTTCCACTTGTTTTCGGCTAAGATTAGCAATTGTAGTACCTATTTGCACCATCCATTCCCATTGCCTATCCACCTTCTCCCTAACATCACCAAGTACCCTTTCAAACTTCCTTATCATGTCCTCCGATGCATTGTTGTCATTACCGTTTCGGCTTGAATTAGAACATTCTCTTTCCGACATCATATCACACAATTTTTTTTATGCCTCACAAAGATTTCACTCGAAAAACACTCACTATGGCTTTTTCCCTCTATTAAACTCACCACTCGACCTTTTACCACTCAAAGTTTCCCTCCAAGCACTTCAAAGAACCAAGTGAACTAAATCAATTGTTTTACCAGGAATTCAAACAAACCGAATATTAATCGAAGACCACGAGACTCAAAGGACTTGAATAAATGGAATAGATGAATGTTTTGATAAGAATACGTGAATAGACTCAATAGAAGATTGAAAGAATCGAACCCAATTGAATATCCCAAAGTCAAACACAATGTAGGAAGTGTTGCTGGTAGAAAAACAAAATCAAACAATAATAATATCAATTTTTTTTTGTACTTCTTTTTTTTTTACTCCTTGATGAAAGAAGATGATTAAACTATCAACAACTCAACGAAACGACGAAAAGAAAAACAAGAACGAAGAAGAACTAAGAAAAACAAAATTAACGACTCAAACAAATAAAGA